GCGGAAAAAAGATCAGCGAGGTCCTGTGGGGTAATTTACCGGTAGCGAGAGTGAGGTCACTACTAGCGGAAAAAAACGACTCCCGGTAGACACGAACAACCCGGAGTAGATACCAGGCATGGAACCACCGGTAGCGGAATAGCACCAGCCAAGAGTTATAAAATTGGGCTCAAGACGGACCAGTCTCATTGGGATTATGATACGGGAAACTCCGAGAAGCCCTTTAGAATCCCTAATTCGCATCTCTGTTGGAACGTAAACACCGATGCAACTGGTCTGGGTTTCAAGCCTCTACAATCCGATGTTTATTCTTTTTTACAAAGGTCGCTGATCAATCAATATGATCCCTCCTTTGCCATTACAAAATCTCTACTCGTACCTCCCTTGACCATGCTTGAGTAATGGTGCGTTCGGCATCATTGTGCTATGATTGATTGTTAAGCAAACTCTTGGCGCTTCACACTTATCCTTTCCGAATTTTCCGGGCAATTCTGGGCTCTTGGGGATTTCTCCGCCCACAGGACTCACAAAATTCATCTTTAATGACAAAAATGCACAAACCTTGCCTCAAAGAACATGGATAATCAAGCTAAATTGGGAATAGTGCGTTATCTCATCCAAGAAAACGTGTGACTTGCTCACATTTCACAGACAGCTACTATTTGAGGCCCCCATTCAAAATGCCCAAGATCGCAGTATGATACTCCAGTTCATATTTCCAGAAATTGGAGGGGACCAGTTGATGCAGCAGGTGTCTAACTAACTAACTTACATTCCCACGACCTTAAAAGGAGGGGGGAAAGAGAGGGAAGGACCCTCCGACTGGTAGACTAGTGACCACATACCGGTAACTTGAAATTGGACGATTATTTTCCACCACCACGAGTGGGTTTAACACGACCGGAGCCATACCGGTATTGTAGAGAAGGATTCCAACCATTGAAAGTAATAAGTTAATTTAGTCCTCCCTGGAAGGCACGGATATAATACTAGCACTAGTGCAACCAATCTGCTCGAGTACGAGTACCGTAGTCGCTCACCGGAGAGTAGCACCGCGATGTGCAAATGCTGAGACTAAAAACGGGACTAGAAGCGAGACCAAGAGCGCCGATCTTCACCACCTTTTTTTCTTCTCCTCCTCCCTCCCCCTCACCCCTCTCCACCCCGACTGCAGAAAGGGAACTTTGTCTCGTCAATCGTCGCCCTCCAGATGGCGATGTCAATCGCGAAATGAGCGCCGAGAAAGGTGGCTTCACCAATCACCCCTCGGATTCAAGCTTTTCCACCAACCCTCTTCCCTTTGCGACATATATTACGTATATAACTCAACCCACCGGTTTTCCGCTGCAGCAAGCCCTTCCAGAAGGAAAATGAAGGGAGAAAAAAAGAATTACCGTCTTCCAGAAGCTTTTTCTTTTCTTTTCTTCTCTTCTTTTCTTTTTCTTTTTCTTTTTCTTTTCCCTTGTGTTATGAGATGCGAGTTTTTGGGGAGAGACAAAATGGTCTCACAGACTCGCATACCAAGACGGGAATTACTGTTTTTTTACTTTTTTTTTTTACCTTTAATACTCGAGTACTTGTGCTTTATACTTAAAGAAGTAAAGAGTGCTGGCAGCCACGTTTTTTTTTCTTTCTTTCTTTCTTTCTTTCTTTGCATTTTCCATGTTCATGTTTTATTTTTCCGGGATTCCCACCATGCCCCCTTCACTTCCCCCAAAGAACTATCGGTACTCGCGCCATCTACCGTCCGATAAGACGTGACTCGCCCGAGTGGGGAAGGGACGTTGGACCCCCTTTACGACATCACATCTGCTGAGCCACAAACTTTACGGCGCTGGAACACCATGCCAAACCAAACCATCGCTAACTTAATTACCGTACCACTACCGGTACACTATGTACTCGAGATACAAGTATGATATGAACGTCACATATCTCGGTCGTTGCCTTCTTCTGTCTTTCGTTTACAGTACATCCTTTGTTTGGGGGTCCTGCCGCTATAACACCGTTCGAGGTTCCGATTCGTCGGAGCGGGGGAGGGAGTCTGCCTGGCTTAGAATTTGAATACATAAGACAGCGCGAGGCCAAACTGGGGATAGCTCTTCGAAGCGCGCGCGAAGTTTCGCAAGCAGGGTGGCCTCCAAGAATTTAACCCCTAGTACTGATCGAGATGTCTCGCTCAGACCCTTGGCTTGGTTTGTTTGGACGGCCACAAATCACGGCGGAGTGTGGGATGTGCTACAGCGATAGATTTAGGTCTCTTTTGTTTGCTGTAGTAAGTTAAGTCAAGGGGGGGGGGGTGATACCGGTATTATTTTATGTGGTGTGGGATTACTGTTCCAATCTTTGGTACAGGTACTTCAGTACCGGTAGGAGGGAGTTGGGTTGCACTGAGGTTACTGGCAGGAGTCTATTTGCGTCCTCGTACAAGTATATCATAGTTACTTGCGCAGTTGTCAGGGTTTTTTACCAGTTGCGAGCTGCAGGACGCTGGTAAATTTATGTCGTTTTGTGACTACCGTATTTGCGCGAGAATACGGGTTGCGAAGGGGACTGCCGCACACTGCTTGGGTTAGGTGGGGAGGTTAGGGAAGGAAAAAGAATAGGATGTACTACCGTAGAGGAAGAAGAAGGGGAGGAGGAGCAAGAACGAGAAGAATACGCATAGTTTGGCCTTTTCTCCACTATAACAGGAGGGGTCAAAGATTTTTTTTCTTCTCACTGGTTGCAGACACAGAACTTGGGGACATTGCTGCAGAGCGCTCGAGTACGGGTAACTGTAGACTACGACGCAATTCGCTCGGAAGCACACGGGGACTGAAACATGATCCACTAGAACAAAGAAAGCACCTTCGGTGCTTTTTTTTTCTTCTTTCATTTGATTTTTCTTTTTTTGCCTCTCAACCTCTAAATAAAATACCTTGAACTTCTTTCTCTGTCCTAGTGGTCAGCAAAGCGAGGCGGAAGGCCTTCCTTTCGGATGGCAAGGAATACACGCCAAAGCTGATTGACAAACTGAGGAGAGAAGAGAAGGGGAGATGTATTAAAATGGGGGCGATGATGGGGGGGCTAAGAGACCCCCCCTCCCCCCTCATCCATCCTCCCTCCCCTCCTCGGAAACTAGACACCCCCGTTATAGGCACCGATTTAGAGGTCGCTTACTTGCATAATCCTTTTGAGGTTTGCTTTCTTCCTCTCTAATCTCTGATCTGGGGACTGAGCAAGAAGGAAAAAAAAAGGTGTGGTCCATTCAAAAAGAAAAGAAAAAAGGCAGATGTGCCCACCATACGTGGAAGGTTTTGGCTGTGAAGGAGCAGAAGCAAACGGGAGTTAAGCAAATGTAATATCGCTCCAAGGCATGGTGATCCCAATGCTCATGCCTTTGGCTGTGTCTTTACTGCACTTTTGGGTGAATGCCTATCCACTTCCTGCTACTCCTGCTACTAGATATTCCTCCCATCCCCCTTGCTAGACATTCCCCCCAAAAGCTCATTCCGATGATTTCATTTTTGCTGTTTCCCACCCTTCGAAAGCTTTCATCTCTGAAAGGCCTAGTCATCAGTTGTCTGGTTTATCAACTCAGAACCTGGGTCTGGCTAGATAAAAAAAAATAAAAAATAATCATAGTCTTGGGGGTCTTCCTGCTTACGGACATCGAGATTCTCAGTTTATCCTGCCTTCTGGCATCGTATTCCTCGACGGTGTCCTCCCACTCACTCACTCCTCGTGGTGATCCGCCCCCCACTACCACTCTGGTAGGTTGTGTTTGAGCGCAAGCTAAATATCACGGATACTCCACGGCAGCGGCAGCTCCTCTCTCTACATACTAGCGGACTACCGTACCCCAGCTACTTTGTCTCCAACCTCCCCCTTCTTAAACTCTTCTTGTTCATCAACGACTGGTCTGGGATCCTAGTTGGTTTTTGTACTCGTACGGTACAGCACTCGCAAAAAAGTAACTCTGACTGAGGCTGCACGTTGCAACGGTCTCTTCTTACCCTGGCCATCTGCGATCCGCCCCACCAGTGGGTAATAAGTATTTAATATTCCTATAACACCGAATTTGAAGAACCCTTCAAATGAGGAATCGTCCACCGTCGCTGCTACGTCTGAGCGCCGAGAAAGGCCATAGCGCCGTTTCCCCAAAAGACGACTTCGGGAATTCTTCGACGAGCCATCACTCGCTCACTCCCACACTGCTCCCGTCCCCAGAAGCTACCAGTATTACTAGCAGCCGTTCCCCCCGTCAGAGCAATATAGCCTGGTCTCCTTCCCTTCTGGCTCCCTCACTGTCGGACCCACCATCTGCTGCTAGGACCTCTGCCGGTACTCGTGCCAGATCCCTCTCGTCGGGTACCCCTTCTCCCTCATTGTTTCCTCCCCTCAATATGTTTAAAATCAACACTAGGTCGAGGTCCCCCAGACGGGCCACGTCTGCCATGTATCCCTCGATGTCCGATCCCACAAATAACCCCACATCTCCTGCTACTTCAATGGCAGTCACAGAGCCACTTCCGCGGCCCTTCTCTCCCTGGGGCTCGACCGAATCTTCGACCTCGACATCTCCACGGGCTTCAAAAATGCACAAAGGATTTTTCGGTAAGAGGTCCGGCTCGCCAACTGCTTCATTAAGTACAACAAGTGCACCAGCTAGTTCAGTCATGGCGAAGAGCTCGAAAGGTTTCCTTGGGCGAAGGCCACGGAAGAATTCCCCTTCTAACCTCGACCCAGACTTTGACCCGACCACCTTTCGGAAAAACCGGACGAGGCCGGCGTTAGGTGCGCATAGTCAGGATGCGTTATACCAGGAATACGAGTATCTTTTTGATGATTCCCTAGAGGATTCTGTCAACTCTGAGGAGGATTTGTCGTCGCATCCCTCGGACGCGGATGGGAATGACGACGAGGACGGATATTACTTACTGAGGATCAAGGAGAGTGTGGATAGTTTCAGCCCGCGAATTAGTCCAAGAACAAGAAGTCCGCCCCGAAGTGTCCCAATGAGTCACCGAAGAAACACATCTAGTGGTTCGTTGTCTGATACACCTCCAACACCTCCTCCCAAGTTTAGGAGATCACTCGTTGTTGCCACTACTACTCCTCCTCGCAGTTCAACCACATCGCTAGAAGAACCGAATCGTCTCACGGCCACTACCGTTGTCTCGCCTCCTCCAACACCTCCACCAAAACCAACATTGTTCCTTGACACAGAAAGCGTAGATCCCAAATACGTCCCACAGGTGAAATCGGCCGCTTCTGAGGCATCTCCGCCTCGCCGACCTCCACCACCAACACCGGATGTTCAAGACAAGCACTTCGCTAAAAGATTGAGCAAGATTCCCAACCGGCCGACTTCAATACCTGAAGGCCTAGGGATCATAAACATTCCGTCTCCAACATTATTTTACTCGTCATTTATTCCCGGCGCTTCGGATACCTGGTGCGGAATCGCCGATCACGCGACCGACAGCCCAGCGCTTACGAGCAGGTCTTATACACCGCGTCAACCAGTGGCGAAGACCAACTCCTATGATGAAACCATCGCTAAGGGCATGTCAGTACTATTCGACGAAGAACCAGGAGTCGGAGTAGTTCCACTATTTTCGACAAAAGACAGCAACAGCTCGAATCTGGAGAATACAATAGTAAAGGAGACGGAGATGACACAGGTTATAGTGGAAGAGGTTACAGCCGAGAATCCAGGGGATTTATCAGCCGCAACCGAGAACTCTATCGAGGGCATCCTCGACCAGCTTGGGGCAACGGATTCTACGAAGACCGAGGAGGCGGAGAAGATTGCTGATAAAACTCAGGATTCTAAGGATGCCCTACCGGCATACTCGATGAATGTTACCGTGGAAAAGGAGTCGGAAATGAGTACTGCGGGAGAAGCAAATAATCGGACCACTGCTATCCTTACGCCTACCACGAGCACTACTGGTCAGGGGTCATCATCCCCGAAGACGATCAAAAATGAGGGCGATGAGAAACCCGCTACCAGCACAACCGAGAAGGAGGAGACACCAAAGATCGACTCCTCATATCTCAAGGCGTTTAGGGGCTTTGTCAAAAGATCTGGCGATAGCGACCCCTTCATCCACCGTATGCCTCGTTTCGATGCTCTACAAGCACAGAGAATATGTAGCCATCTGAGAAACGATTACCCTCCTGCTGCATCGGGCAAGGGGGCAAAATCAGGGTCGCCAAATGGGGCCGTTACCGCCACCGCCCGACAACGAGAGGCTGAAGAAGGGATCCTGACTAGTCTATGGGCCTTGATGGCACTGAGATGGATGAACTTTGGCAGGGTTGTTATTAGTCCTGGGCACGAGACTTTGTTGGCTGCTTCCGCAAAGCGTCTGACTAGACGTGCGACTACGAAGATGGATCAGCGTGCTACGCAGATGCTTGAGAACGTCTCAAGCGAGGTCCGCACGGGAAGTCACGAGCGCAGACGTGTCCTTGATCTCGGTGGAGCACCTGTTGGTATGAACTCCGCAATTTTGTGCGTGCTGTAAGACCCATACTAATATTTATATAGCCGACTGGGGATGGCATTGTGCCTACGACTATCCAAAAGCAAAGGTTTACACCGTAACAACCGGGTCCCGGCCAAAGCAACAGTCCGAAGGTGAAGAGAAGACAACTGGGGCCCCAGACAAGTGCCGGGGACCACAGAACCACCGCCCTCTCGTGGTGTCAAAGTTGTGGAAACTCCCATTCCCCCCGAACCACTTTGACGTGGTCTCGGCGCGCAGTTTGTACCTAACACTGAAGGCAACCGTCCCAGAAAACTCACCAAATCTCGGCATGGACGAGTATGACCTCTGCCTCGAGGAGTGCCTCCGCGTACTGAAGCCAGGTGGACATCTTGAGTTCTCCCTCTTCGACAATGATATTGTAAACGCAGGACCACTCGGAGCTGAGCTCGCAGCTAAGTTCTCCAAAGGCCTCGAGTCAAAAGGCTACGACGCAACTCCTACAAAACGTTGGGTCTCCCGCCTGAATAGGGCCGGTTTTGGCGAAATTAAGCGCAGCTGGATCTTCCTCCCCATGTCCCCGCCCAGCGCGAAACCGAGAGTGCCCTCTAAGGGCGAGATGCAACTACCACCTCATGAGTCACAGGATCTGGAAATGGTCAAAGAGGAGGTCCGTAGGAAACTCAAGGCATGGGAAGATCTCGGTGTCGAAAACGGCAGCGTGGAGAATGTTTCTCCCGTCACTGGATTAGTAGGCAGTTGGATTTGGGAGAAGTGGATGCTGAAGACTGAAGGAGAGAGTGGCGACGAGTGCGATCTTGCCATCGGCACAATCGGAGACGTGCTCGAAGAAGGGAGAGAGAGGGGCTCTGGGTGGAGGTGCCTGGTCGGATGGGCTAGAAAACCAATGTTTGCTGGGGAGCATTAGGGTTGGCGTATTTTGGATTTTTGTCTTTCATTTTTTTATCTTTGGTTCGGTGGGGTTTATCACTATCATGCGCTTTTCTTCTCTTTCTTGGAACCAAAAAAAAAAAGCTCTCTCCCGCCTTTCCCCCCCCCATGGCTTTCCGGGAGCGGTAAATTTATAGGGTGGACGGACTTGATGGGTTTGGTTGGTTTGGTTTGGTGGAATTTTAGGTTAATCATACGGTGCGGATTGGATGGCGGGCTGATGTTTTTTTTTTTGTTCATCCCAGAGACTTTTCTCTTATCATACCTTGTATTTTTTTACGTTTCATACCTGCAAGATTTCTCTTTTCATTTTCCGATCAGTACAGTCTCCTTTCGGTGTCCGGAGTGTTGGTGTGGGTTTCGTTTCGTTTCCGTCAGTGGCCCCCTCTCTTCCTCTCTCTTGAGCATTTCCTTGTATAATTTATCATCACTATCACACCACATCCCTAACCTTGCGGCATTTATTCCCTTATGATATTGTGTCAACTTTGCTTGCTTAGTTAATTGCTTGCTTAGTTAATTTCTTGCTTCTTTCACTCTTTCTTCCTTTCTTTCTTCCTCATTTCTCAGGGCCGAGTGCACTCCCTTGAGGTTGTGGCTATTTATTTGTTTATTCGGAGGGTTTTAAAAAAAGTACCGGTAGAATTTCGTATTAAATTAAGACCCTGTTCGGCGCATACAGTACAGTACTGTACCAATAAAAGTATATCGCGATATTTTCGAAAACAGCATATTCTCTAATACAGTATCATACCAAGAGCGGGCTAACTACAAAGAAAAAATTAATGTCATATTCATATCGTAGTCAGACGGCGGATACTCTTCGCAAATTCCGTGCAAAGGAAAGATCAACAAACACAAGGCCAACGGGTTGAGGAGTAAGTTAAGGAAAATGGCGGGGGGATGCGGGAATGTTGTGCGACAACAAGTGAAATACCTTGCAACAACCACAACTTCCACTGAGTTACTCCTCAAGCCGTACAGTACAAGTAGGCATATTTGAGATGATAAGGGGTTTTGCTCAGCTCGTTCGAGAGAGAGAAGAGAAGAAGAAGAAAAAGAAAAAAAAGATAAATAACTAGGTGGTCAATGGAATGCTGTTGTGTGTTAAACGACACATATAAAGCGGAACGCGTTTTGAGATGACAAACTTCCCAATCGATGGCGAGCCGAACAGCGGCTAATTTGAGTTGGCGTGTTTGTGCCTGTCATTGGGACTTTCTCGATTAGGAGGGCGGCGGTTAAGGCCTGTTTCGGATGATGAGTAGTGTAGTGGCGAACGCGTGGGTTCGGCGGGTTGTACAGTGCTATAGTATCGTAGTAAGGTGGTATCCTGTAATAATTGGGAATCCCTCTCTCTCTCTAGAACGTTGGAGTAAGGTCTGTTTTGTTTTTCTTCTTTTTATTTGTTTGTCCTAAATGAGGGGGTGAAAGATGTGTTTTTTTTTTCCTTCTTCTCCTTTCTAACCTATAGGGGGAGGAGATTCTGGACGTTCTGGAGCCATTCCCCTCCAAAAAAAATTTTCCTTTTGTCTTTACGCTATTATTATTATAACCTTTCCCAGGAGATAGGTATCCGAAACAAGGATCTCGCGAAATATATGGTAAAATATCCGTGCGTGCCTGGGCGCCCATACGAGCTCACTGCTCTTGTATTATTTTCGGATACTTTTCCTGACTGGGACGGAGTAGGTACAGTATCATGCGGGCAATGCAGGCAGGGAAGATCCTCTAGGCTATCTGGAGTATCGCGCCACCGCAGCGAGCAGCTGGGATATATGACATGAAGCTATGGTACTAATCTACAGGTGCTGGGTAGGGTCAGAAGAGCTTGGTGGTCCGCTGATCATGAGCACTCACTCGAGCCCGGTACTCCCCGTGTGGATAAAAATGCTTCTTACTGTGGTGAGTCCTTGCGTCCGCCGGTTGGATAGTTGGTCCGTGCGTACTACTGATTGGGGGGTTGGTGATTCTGGGGGCGGGACATGGACAGGCCGAACGGAAGATCCTGGGGGAGGCGCCGGTGTGGAAGTATGGGGAAATGTGGGGTGGTGAGGAGGTTGGGTTAAATTGCTGTGCCCTATAGAGTATGTAATTGAGGAAAGGGATGAAGGGAGGGGGACCCCTAGGTCGTTGTGATACCGGTGGTTTCGGTGGTCCTCCCTCGGCGGTGGGGTGATATGGAGTTGGGATTTGATAGGAAGTGGAGAGTGAGTCTCGTGGCGGCACAGTAGGAGCGGGTGGAATAGCATTCCCCCTATTCGGATTGGAAGTGCTTAGTGGTGTTGGGGTGGTATCACTTGATGATGAGCACTTGGGGTTAGATATTTGTCCCAATTCGCCATTTCTCTCTACCCCCGCGAGAGAAAGTGCTTTGCCAGAGGCGTAGGTGGCTTCTCTAGCACACCCAAACGCCTACGATAATCCCATGTGATGAGCACTTCACACTCGGTAAGGTTGACTGCGCACGGGGCAGTAATTGCCCCTCCAGCCATTACTGGACAATCCCATCATAGCGTCGTCCGCGGTGTTCGCCCCGGCTTCGGTGAGCAAAATGGTATCATTTGTGGCTTTTTGATGCTAAACCTAAGCTAGAGCATCTCAGTAGAGCACAGTACAGTCAATATTATGATAATAATATTATTATGACACTATCCATGAAAAAAAAAGCAACGAAAAAGCCCTATCTATTCCCGTAGGGCTTAGTGTTTATACCAGACAGCCTTCCTACACTATAAGCGCTCTCATAATATTACAGGTGGGTCGTTGGAAATACCTTGAGCAAGGGTGGCATGAGGAGTGACTGACTGTGCGCCTCGGGTGTGCGCCTCGGGTGTACGTCGAGCCTGCCTTGATCGGTAGTTTCACTGGAGGGGAAGAGTCCGTGTATCTGTCTTTCTAACCCCCGATGCTTATGCCAGGCGAAACAGAAGGTTCAAGTCTAACTCAGCAGTGCAAGCATACCTTTAAATTAAAGTTGGCCCCGTCTATTTCGCAGCTCCCCTGGTTACTCTTTAGCACGGTCTGGATTTCCTCGCGGCACGGTGGTTATGGCTAGGGATCTTGTCTGGTAGGTATTGTTAGGTTTCGTTGATATCGAAAAAGTGAAGATTGTTGACTTACTGTGAGTAACCCTTTGGGGGCTAGAATTCTGGAAGTCGAATGCCTTCTGCACTTGATGGCTAATTCTGAGAACCCGTCAATCGTTATGAATTATTTTGTTATTATTGTTATTATTATTAATTCTGTGTCATCGTGAGGGACGAACAAACCTTCTTGCATAAAGCGCAAACAGGCTGTTTCGTCCAATGTGGTAACTAAACCCTAGCCCTGAAAATTGCTCCCATCGTTCCTGCAGGGGGTGGCGATCCCATGACTGAGACATCCGTGTATTTGGATTGATCTTGGAAAGGTACGGTAATTTGCAAATACACGCCTAAATAAAGTTACCGGTATGTATTTTAAATTATGATAATATTGTTCGCCATGTTGAGCGAACCTTTCACGCTCACAAAAACCACCAAGGCTTGGAGTCCGTTTGATCCTCCTACCTTGCACGAATGTGGAATTGGGATTCAGCGGGTCACTTCAGCCGCTGGCGTCATGGGCCCCAGTTCAAGTAACATGATTAACTCACGTCCCAAGTTCGCTTCCTTGCTTGCTCGCTACCCCATTTCTACCCTCTCCTATCTGTAAAACATCACGAACATGCTCTCCCCCAACTCACTAGAGGGGTCTAGCTCTAGCGCCTCGCTAGACAATGCCTCCGCCTCGCTGGGAACCTCGGATCTACTAGACCACGCTAGTTCCGCGTATCGAGCTATCGAAATCACGTCCACTAGCACAGTGCTCGAGACGGCGCGCGGGCACAGATTGCCCGGGAGACTCATCGAGGAGGCGAGGAAATTGAACGCGTTACGGAGTGAAGAGGAGGGAAAGCGCGGGAGAGACGGGAACCTTAGCCCTCCTCTCGGAGTGAAGGGGCAGCGGAGGACATTGTCGCCCGGACTCCGAGATACGGCAAGGAACAGGCTGCAGAAAACTGGCGGGCATCTAGACACTATGGAAGAACGAGATGGAGGTGGGGAAAATGTCTATATCGGAAAGGCAACTGCTTTCACCAACCCCCTATTCCCCCCATTGCCAGTTTATGGACCCCCCACGCCCTTGCGGAGACTACAATATATGATTTTCCGCGCTTGTAGCGGGGTGCTCTCGTTTTGTTTTCTATTTATCATTGTCATTGGCGCCATAGCTAAGTCGCTTCCTTCGATGTTCATGACTTTAGCCTGTCTGCTGCGTGGTCGGGATCCGAACGCCACAAGACCGTTCTACGGGATTGAGAAAGAGCGTGCGGAAAAACGGAGAGAGGAAACTAGGGCTTGGAAGGCTCGGCGGAGGGATTCACTGGGCGCGGGGGATCAGGATGGTGAGCGGGGATTGAGGAATAAACAGATTACTGGGGGGGAGGATAATCTGGTGTGTGATATTGGGTATTATGCTAGAAGGGTTGGACTGGATGCAGAGGAGTTCGAGGTTCAGACGGAAGACGGGTTCTTGATTATGATGCAGCATATATATGATCCGGATGATCCCCCCTACTACCCGAGTGAGAAGATTGATGGAAAAGATAATAGAGGGAGGAGCGCGAATGGGAAGAGGAGCAAGTATCCAGTTTTGCTTATGCATGGGCTTCTTCAGAGTTCTGGTGCTTTTTGTGTCAATGATGAGGATAGTTTAGCATTCTATTTGTGCAAGGCGTGAGTTCCCGCGGATTCAACTTGCCGGGTGTTCTGACCTAACACGGGAATAGAGGCTATGACGTCTGGCTCGGCAACAACCGCTGCGGCTTCAAACCCAAACACACATCCCTCCACTACTCCGATCCCAGAATGTGGGCCTGGAACATCCGACAAATGGGGATAAACGATCTCCCCGCCCTAATAGATCACGTTCTCTCGGTAACCCGCTTCCCAAAACTCGGCCTAATCTGCCATTCCCAAGGCACTACCCAAACATTCGTAGCCCTAGCAAAGCAGCAGCGTCCAGACATTGGGTCGAAAATATCTGTCTTCTGTGCACTCGCCCCAGCAGCATACGCAGGGCCACTAATAGATAAATTCTGCTTCAAATTCATGAAGATCATATCTCCCTCCATGTTCCGAATAGTCTTTGGCATCCACGCTTTCATCCCCTTCATGATGCTCATGCACGCTACTATGCCCGCGCGGGTATACGGCGCGCTAGGATATCGTGTGTTTTGGTTCCTTTTCGGTTGGAGCGACACCCGCTGGGATAAAGGCCTCCGCGACAGATTCTTTCAATTCGCTCCTGTATTTGTCTCCGCCGAGGCGATGAGATGGTGGCTTGGTCGTGAGTGCTTCGCAAGACATAAATGCATATTGTCTACCAAAAGGGAAGAGGAGGAAGCGGACCAGGAGGAAGAAGGCATATTGGAGCAAGAAAAACAGAAAGAGCCGGAAAAAGAAAGGAACGAGGGAAGCAAGGGCCCAGACAAAGAACTATCACCATCGCCATCTACTAACGGGGGGCCGTGGTACGACGGCCGCTGTCCGCCGATGGCGCTCTGGGTCGCGGGTAATGATAACTTGGTTGATGGCCCGAGGCTCATCAGACGCTTTGAAAGGGGCAAGGAACCAGATGTCAACCTTGTGCACGCGAAAGTCATTGAGGAGTATGAGCATCTGGACGTGGTCTGGGCCGTGGATGCCCCTGAACAGGTGTTTAAAGAGTTGGTGGACGTGGTATGGAAGTGTGTAGACGAGGATGTCAAAAGGGAGGTGATTGTCCCCCGAGGCATTGGAGAATCAGGGATCAGGCAGTGAAGCAGTGTGCGTATACTGTACATATATACATGCCCCGGAGGATGTTTTGGTTTTTGTTGGTTTCCGTCCTCTTTTTGTTTTTCTAGGAGGCTTCTATCGGTGCATTAAGTCTTGATTGACGCGATGAAGTTGTTTAAGTTATAGAGTAATCAATAGGATACAAGTAGTGTGTAATTTTGTTTAATATGAGTTGGCTTGGTTTAACTACCGCCCTGCATTACGCGGGTATTCTAATCGTACAGTATTGTTATTAAATTTTGATAACATATCGCTACGGTAAATTTTGATGGGGATTTTTTCTTCTTTCTCTAGGATTGACTAACATATTGATCGGGGAGTGGGTTAGACCGAGAAAATGAATTTGTTTCAAAACGTACTAAAAAAGGAATGGCTTGGAAATCTGGAAACCTCAATTGACATCCAGCAACTGGGAGAGGGGCTTCGGGAGTAGAATGGTAGATAGATATTCTTGATAGCGGATAGATAGCGGTGTGTTAACTCTGCCCTTTAAGTTATGCCAAAGCCAACAGTTTGAATTTCTTTGAGAAGGGATAGTTCACTGTCAGGACGTGAATGATATCCCATTTTCACATATTACACGAAGCGAACTACTCCTACGCCTGACCCCCCACACCCCGGCCCAATCAATACACCCAGCGGTGGGCACTGCTGACCAACCTTAGTATAATAGATCGGGGAACAAACATTCCTAGCTAGTGCTATACGGCACAGTACTGTACCCCGGCCGATTGAAGGCCTGGGATAAATCAACACAGCAGAGGACTTTGATATGCACCATACCTCCCGCTGGGGCGCGAAACCGATTTCGAATCAGCACGTGCATCTCCTCGGGTTCGAATCTCGATTTTTGTTGTGTCATATATATAATTCGAGGTATCATAGGCATATCGGGTGGGGCATACCGTATGTCATATCATACAAGTATGTTAAAGGGGGATTCATAAATCCTCACTCGATGACTCCATGGCGCTGACAGGTAGGGGTATCTATCGTATGGGAAGAGTATGATATGATACCCCTTGAAGGTGGAGGGAGTATCGTGCCCTGAATCATACTATCGGAAGGCACGGGTATTGCGCGTGCCCTTCTGTCATACACCTATCATGCCAATGTATGATTGCAGACAAGGCTATGATATGACACCTCTTTCACTGTAGTTGAAATATGATACCAACCATAATCCATCCTTTGAACGCCAAGGGACGTTATCGCGGCATCAGTGATCGCCCCTATTATATACAACCAATGTTCGAGAATATAACCATCGTCCTCAACATTGAACGAAAGGGAACCAAAATCCATCCGCCAGCAGGATAAGCAATTGCTCCCACGACATATTTCGTGTGGTATACTTATCTAGCGCAATGACTAAGATATCGAGAGCCGATTATTAGTTCCTGGGCAATTTGCAGGAGCCCAGGAGCGCAACTTCGCCTCTTATAATGGGTGCTATTGAGCGGCCTATAATACCGGGTAAGAGATGCACCATTACTATAGAAATCCTGTTCCTGTGGGACTGGGAGATTGAAGAGCCTCACCTTGCTCAATAAGGCTATCTATAGGGCAGGGTCAGACCTGTCATGAAGTGGTATCATATGATATCGTATGATACAGGGAACTCTACTCTGGAAATATATCGTGGGGTGGGGTCTCCGGAAAGGCATTAAAGGATTTTTTTTACCTCGCTCTGTTTGGAGAAGCAGCTTGTAACCCCTGAACGCTATCGTTTTAAAATTTGCGTCCCGAGACATTGGTCCCTGGTACACACTACGTATCGTATCTTACTCATCAAATTCGCTATGGGTCAGCCATGGGGTCTGTTGGCTCCTGACTAGTTAGGTGTCGTATTGCTATAGATTGCTGCATAAACGATGGATTGTGATTGAGTGGCGCCTCCCCAAGGTCGAATTCTACCGTCTAACCGGACCGAGAACATATCCTGGGAGGGGGATAGTGAATTTCCCCCGGTGGATACAATATGAGGCGCTCAAGTTGCTCCTCACTCCCACGGGGAATGGATAATGCTTGTCATATACTTGTCATTACCCGCTAGGTGTATGATAAGAGCTAACTGTAGTACTCAAGCGCAACTCTACTGGAGAGAAAACTTATATCATAGTATCCATAAGTTGGCCCAGGCTAGATACCTGTGTCAGGACAGAGATCGCAGGGACCCGCCCGCATGGCCGGAATACACTACTCGCACACCTCTCGTGGGAATTCGTCAGGCAGCTGATATCTCGCAGGAGCACCCCACCAAGCGCCCGGCTTGCGAAGGCACTGTATTCCTAGAAAGGACGCGTAGGTATCATCACATCCCAAGTACTGCACCATCTTCCGAGACCATTATCAATTGAAAACTAGGCACATATTTCCCGAGGTGTGCTGGATTTCTGAGAAATTCGGAATCTCCCCCCCCCCTCACACACTGGCCAAACACCAACTCCCGGAAAAAGTTTTTTGCAAGAGGAGTGTCTTAGATATTGCCAAGTTGATATAACCTAATCCTAGAGCGTTTCTATTCATGATGGGTCAAGTATCAATCGCACTTCCCTTCGTATAGTGCAAATGAGGTCAAACCGGGACCTCAAAATAGGCCAAATACGATCTGGGACTAGTCCACCAAAACATGGAATTTTGATAAAAAAAAACCGCTACAATGAAGGCACTTCCAAGGAGAACAGGGTAGCTGTTTTTCTTTCTTAATTAAGTATTCATAGCAAGAGGAGTCCCAGAATAAAAAGTGAAAAATTTGGTGAGAGTGAAACAGGGGACCAAATATACCTAGTAGCATGCTGAAATATACTGTGAGGTATTGATGAGTGAGAATTGATGAGTATGGGTAAAGGGGGCATTAGAGACCAGCCATGTAAGATAACAATAGTAACCACAACAGTACTCTATACTCAGAGCCACATTACAATTCAGATGCCCCTACCAAACAAGAAACGAAAGCATATGCAAAGGATTGCCCCTCAAGGAGGACAATCAAAAAAGGCTTGCAATATTCCGCATTTAGGCATCAATCCTACTAGTACATATGAGGCTCTGGCTGAGGAGTCTCTCATTGAAAATCTGGAGGCTGAAGAGAGCCGGTTGAGTCTTGATAATGAAGAGGAAGAGGTAGCCACATCAGGTACATGCAATTCACATGGGACCAAGAGGCTCTCTAGAAGTTCTTTGTGGTATAGAGCATATAAAGAGAAAGAGCAAGAGAGACAAAGGGAGATGGGAAGAGAAAATATTGAGGATAGTTGGGAGGATATTGAACGGCAGGTGGAGGAGAAATGGCCAAGAGTCAGTAAGGATATACGAGTAACTGTATTCAAAAAGGGTATGATTTTGGCTATTAAGAGTGGTAATTAATACTAAAATAAAAATGGAAAATTAGGAGTAGTAGATATCCAAGCAGTACTGAGACGTAAAAAGAAAATTGCATACTCATTGCAAGACCTAGAATGATACTTCCAAATTCTCCAATTTATGAACTGGCAGCTCAAGTATCCTGATCTGCTAAGGAAGAAAGCAGCAGTTAATACTGCAGTTAGTTGGGGGCAGGGAAAGCATACAGCAGAGAATATTATTCGCTGGGAAAAGAGCTAGATAAGGACCAGAACAATTACAATGAGTCAAAGAGGAAAGCATGCAAAGTCACAAAGCATGTTGAATGATGAAGGAGCACTCATTGCGGTACGAGAGTACTTAGACAGTGCTGATGAAGGTACTTCTCTGCAAACCTTCTTTATTTGTCCCTTATATCTTATAACTAATAGAATAATAAATTACTTAATAGTATTATCTGGACAAGGACTTGCGAAGGCAGTTACCAACTATTGGGCTCAGTGGACAAGCCAACATGATGCAGAGATACGAGTAGCCTGTGTCTACCAGGCACTCATTGAGAAGCATACTTGGTGTAAAATGAGTATCACAGCTTTAACTACAATTAAATGGTTGAAGAAACTAGGGTTTGAGTAGAAGGAAGTCAGGAAGGGGGTGTATATTGATGGCCATGAGAAGCCAGAGGTAGTTTTCTACTGACAGCATCACTTTCTTCCCCAATGGAAGAAATTGGAAAAATGAATGCCAAAATGGTTGCCTTCACGAGAGCTTGACAATACCCCTTTACCTGCCAACGAGCAACTATTAATTCCTTGTGCACATGATGAATGCACATTTCATTCAAATGATGGTGTACATCATCGTTGGATACATAAAGACAAGCATCTTATTCGGAAAAAATCACATGGCCAAGGCCTCATAGTATCCGATTTCATTCTCCCCTGCAGTCGGCTTGAAATACCTCCAACTATTCCACTCCCCCTAGCATTAAAAGAAAGGGAGATGGAACCAATTCCAGGACTAAAAATCAATCCTCGACAGGTAACTGAATACATCAAGGTTGGGAAAGGATCCTGGTAGAATGGTGAAAATCTAGTTAACTATGTATTGAATGTTGCTATTCCAATTTTTGAAGCAACATTTCCTAATGCCCAAGCATTATTCCTCTTTGATCATGCAACTTCACATACAGCAGATGCATCTGATGCTCTTCGAGTAGCCAATATCAATATGGATCCTGGTGGTAAACAACCACAACTTCGAGATGGTTGGTTCTATCAACTAAATGGAGCAACTCTATATTTTCAGAAAATGAGCTTTGCTTTGGATGATTTGACAGTACCAGAGAGGTGGCGTGGAATACCTAAAGGATGTAAGAGGATTTTGCAGGAGTATGGCCTCTGGCCAGAAGGAGGATTAAGGCTTGACTGTAAAAGCAAGAAAGATAAAAAGGATAGAAACCATCAGAGTAACTCTTGCTGTGCCAGACAGCTGCTCTCAGTACAGCCAGATTTCATGGAACAAAAGTCACACCTTCAGGAAGAAATTGAAAAAAGGAGCCATTTATGTTTGTTCTTTCCAAAGTTCCATTGTGAACTAAAATGGATTGAATACAGGTAGGGGAGGGCGAAATGGTT